ATTTATATATATATATAATCTTAATTAATTTCTTAATAGTCTATTTATAACTAGTTAGATTATTAATTTCCTACTTATTACTTATTAGCTTATTATTAGCTGCTTTCTCTATAGTAATTAGTTAGAAATAATAAAAATAAAAAGTTAGTTACTTTTAAGATTATAAGTTAATTTATCTCTATAAATATAATATATATTTACTACTATAGAAAATTTAATTAGAAATAATATAGATTTAATATTAATCTAATATTTATTTATATATACTTAGTTATACTATATAATACTTATTAATAATATAAAATAATTATATTTATATTCTATTATTAGATTTTTTATAATTATAAAGCTATTTTTAATTATATAGATCTAATAGTTATAACTATTAAGCTTAATACTATATTATAAAGCTTATAAAGAATAAATAATAAATTCTATTCTATATAAAGTATTAAAAAAAAAAGAACTAGATAATAATCTCTAAATATTTAATAATTATAATAATCTAAGATATAATTTCTAATTTTAATATATTATATATTATATAGAATTAATTTAAATAAAAATAATCTTTAAAGTTTAATATTAATAAAGATTATTTATATTTAGATAGATAGAAAAAAATTAAATTAAATTAAATTATTAAAAAGTTTATTAGAATAAAAAGATAAATTAAATAAGATTAATAAAATAATATTTAAAATATAATAAATTAATTAATTTAATATTACTATAAATTATTTAAAGAAAAATATAATAGCTAATTATAAAATTATTATATACTAATAAAGATTAAATATAGTTTATATAGTAAAATTTTTTTTTTTTTTATTAGTTTTACTATAAATAAGGATATATCCTAAGATCAGGTAATATATAATTTAATATATAATTTTTAAGAATATAATTAGCAGTTTATATCTAAACCTTTAATACTATAAGATAAAGTTAAAATTAAATACTTTTAAAAATTATTATATATTAATTAAAAAATTAAATATAGTTTTATATAATAAAAGTTTTTATATTTTTTTTTTATTTTTTATTATTAGTTTTACTATAAATAAAAGTATATTCTAAGATTAAATAATATATAATTTAATATATATTTTTTAAGAATATAATTAATAGTTTATATCTAAACCTTTAATATTATAAAATAAAATTAAAATTAAATACTTTTAGCTTAGATATAGATATTAATATCTTAAAAACTCTAATAATAAAAGCTATTTATATAGCTAGATATATAAATAATCTAACTATAGTTATAATCCCTAAGAGAGAAAACTTATTATTTAATAATAATAATAACTATCTTTTCTTATCTTAATTAATTAATTAATTAAATTATATATATATATTTTTTTTAAGAGTTTTTACTATATATAAAAGATATCCTAAGATCAGGCTATATATAACTAGCTCTATATAATTTATTTTTAACTAAGTTTTAATCTATATCTAACTTTTAACTTTATTTTTTTTACTTTTTTATTTATATAAGCTAAAGTAAGATAATAATATCTCTAAAAATTCTAAAAAAGGCTTATTAAATATATAACTTAGTTATAAGCTCTAAGAAGAAATACTTATTATCTATAATTAATTATAATATCTCTCTAAGCTTATTATTATTATTACTAATTATCTCTTCTTATAATAATAATAGATATCTCTAATATTATTATTCTCTATAGCTAGAGCTTAGTTATTATAAGTAATTAGATCCTTATATATATAATAATTATTATTAATAAGAACTATTAGAATCTCTTTTTAAATATTAATTATTTAAATCTATAATCTATTATAAATTTATTTATAATAATAAAGTTACTCTCTTTTATATAAATCTAGTAATTATACTTATTAGAACTATTATTCTATTTTCTTATAATTAGTAATAATATTAAAATAGATCTAATTATTAATATACTTATAGAGGATTATAATAATATTCCTCTAGTACTTAATTACTATTATAATTTAAGTTATTATATATAATTCTAGTAAGTAATATACTAAATTAAATTAATCTAAGCTAAAGTAGCTTTTTAAGTTTAATATCTATTTTAATTAGTAATATTAGATAGAAGAGAATTAAATTAAATTAAATTAAATTATTAAAAAGTTTATTAAATAGAAAAATTAAATTAAATAAGATTAATATAATAATATCTGAAATATAGTAGATTAATTAATTTAATATTATTATAGATTATTTAAAGAAAATTATAATAGCTAATTATAAAATTACTATATACTAATAAAAACTAAATATTATTTATATAGTAATTAAATTATATTATTAATTAATTACTAGATATTTTAAATAGTTATAATATCTAATATAAATATTCTAATTTCTTAGAGCTTATTTAATATTATTAATAAAACTCTTAAAGTAATAATAATTATTATCTAAAATAATCTAATATAGCTATTTATTAACTATATTTATTATATATCTCTTTAATTAGTTAAAAATTAACTTATAGTAATAAAGCTACTTTTAATAATATAAATCTAATAGCTATATCTATTTAGATTATTATTTTACTATATAATCTACTACTAGTAACTATTATAAATACTTATAGAGAATTAAGATTAATTTAAGTAAATACTATATCTTAAGAATAATTATTTTTTTATATAGGTTTATTATAATCTAATATATAATTTATAGTTTTAATATATTATATACTATATTAAGTTAATAAAAATAAAAATAACTTTTAAAAATTAATTATTTAAATTTTATATTATTTTTAATTATATTTAGATTAAAATATTAATTAGATTAAATTAGATTTAGTATTAATATATTAGAGTATATTTTAATTTAATTTAGAATTATATATATTTAGAAATAAAAAAATTAGTTATTTTTAAAATTATAAGTTAATTTATCTCTATAAGTATAATATATATTTACTATTATAGGAAATTTTTATTAGAAATAATATAAATTTAATATTAATCTAATATCTATTTATATATATTTAATTATATTATATAATAAAAAGTTTTTATATATTATTTTTTATTATATAAATTATATTTAGTTTTTATTAATATATAATAACTTTATAATTAATTATTATAATTTTCTTTAAATAATTTATAATAATATTAAATTAATTAATTTATTATATTTTAAATATTATTTTATTAATTTTATTTAATTTATCTTTTTATTTTAATAATTTTTTTAATAATTTAATTTAATTTTATATTTTTCTATTTATTTAATATTAATTAAAATAAACTTTTTATTTAATTTAAAAAATTATTTTAATTTAAATTAATTTAAACTAATATATTATTTATTAGTACTATATATAATATATTAAATTATAATAATTATTAAATATTAAAGAAATATTTATATAGTTTTTTATAAATATATAGAAAATTAGAATTTATATATTTTCTTATTAGCTAGCTATTAAATATAATAATAGTTTTAATAAATATAATTATTAGATTTATATAAAAGAAAATAGTTTTATTATTATAAATAAACTTATAATAGATTATAAGTTTAAATAATTAATATCTAAATTTTTCTTTTAATAATTATTATTAATAATAACTATTATATATATAAAAATCTAATTATTTATAATAATTAGATTTTAATTATAAAGAATAATAATAAAAATATTTATTATTATTATAAAAAGAGATCTAATTATTAGTAATTAATAATAATAAGTTTAAAGAGATATTATAATTAATTATAAATAATAAATATTTTTTCTTAGAGCTTATAATTAAATTATATATTTAATAAACTTTTTTTAAAGTTTTTAAAAAAATTATTATTTTATTTTAATTTATATAAATAAAAAAATAAAAAAATTAAAAATTAAAAATTAAATATAGATTAAAATTTTACTATATAAAACTATATTTAGTATTTTAATTAATATATAATAACTTTATAATTAGCTATTATATTTTTCTTTATTAATATTCTATTTATAATAATTAATTAATCTATTATATTTTAAATATTATTTTATTAATTTTATTTAATTTAATTTTTAATTTAATAAACTTTTTAATAATTTAATTTAATTTAATTTAATTCTCTTCTATCTAATATTATAATACTAGAGAAATATTATTATAGTTCTCTATAAATATATTAATAATTAGATCTATTTCTATATTATTACTAGCTATAAGAAGATAAAATAATAGTTCTAATAAATATAACTACTAGATCTATATAAGAAAAAGTAGTTTTATTATTATAAATAAATTTATAATAGATTATAAATTTAAATAATTAATATTTAAAAAAAGATTCTAATAGTTCTTATTAATAATAATTATTATATATTTATAATAATTAAACTCTAGCTATAGGAAATAATAATATTAGAAATATCTATTATTATAATTATAAAAAAAGATAATTAGTAATAATAATAATAAGCTTAGAGAGATATTATAATTAATTATAAATAATAAGTATTTTCTTTTAGAATCTATAATTAAATTATATATTTAATAAGTTTTTTTTAGAATTTTTAAAGATATTATTATTTTACTTTAGTTTATATAAATAAAAAAAAAAAAAAAAAATTAAAGATTAAATATAGATTAAAATTTAATTAGAAATAAATTATATAGATCTAATTATATATAATATAATTTTAAAATATTTCTTATATATAATAAAAATCTTAAAAAAAAAAAAAATAAAAAAATTAAAATTTAATTAAAAATAAATTATATAGATTTAATTATATATAGTTTAATCTTAGAATATTTCTTATATATAGTAAAAATCTCTAAAAATATATATATATTATTTTTAGATTAAACTTTAAATTATATATAGTAAAAACTTTTATAATTAAATTAAATAACTAATAGCTAAATTATCTACTGCTCTATCTATTAAGGCTTAGGATTCTTAACTCAAGACTACTAATAATAAATCTAAATATAGCTCTTAGAAAGTAAAAGACATATCCCAGTCAGCTAGATACCTCTGCCTCCAGGCCTTCTGCGACTAAAGGTAAAGGCTCCATAGGACCGCAAGTAGCATACCAATTATCCATTGTTTCGAACAATTTTACCTCATGGTTCGCGCCAGCAATAGCAAGTACTCTAAACCCCTATGTACCTTTATCATCAAGACACCCCGGAGGCAAGGAGGCCACTGGGTAGCCTACTTTCTCTATTGGCAGAAGATTGAGAGATAGATTTTTGGAAAGACTGACCGGCGGCGGCAGCAATGTTTATGAACTGGCTGTCTGCGGGCCCAATTATCACGTCAATATTGTGCTCATTCAACAACTTATATATGGCTCTTGTTCTGCCCAGATCCAGGAAATACCGAAGATGAGCAATATACTCATCCGGGGAGAGGGCAAGGTCCGCTGCAAAATTGATTCGCACCTGATTATGGTCTATATTGCTAAAGTGGCTTCTTGTTAGCGGTTAATTGACCAATATGTGAGATGCAGCTTGCTCACTCTTGGGCCAATCTACTTTGTTAGCATCTGGGACCTTGAATTCTCGGAGGGAGTTGAAATCCGTCAGATTAGTGGGCTCTAGATTCTTGAGATAAGCATTGAAATTATTGCTGGAGTCAGCCACTGTGATTTATTCATTAGCTGCGAAGAAGGAGTGTTTTGGTATAGTTCCTCATTTTCACAGAGGACAGACAGTTAGCATGCTGTCTTGTCTGTTGAGATCAAAATCTCCTGGAAGGATTAATGGAACGTTGTCAGCAAATGATTTGGCACTCGACTTGATTTGATCATAGGCACTTTGGAACGAACCATACTGCATGTTGTTCTTAGACGCGATAGCGTTTGGTAGGCTGGTTAATTACAACTCACCATCTGACGATCGAGGGAGGAAAAAAAAAAACCCTTCGACACGGATTCACTTGCGCTGTGCCCCGAACCAATCAGAACTGGCATGCTACACACAAATTTGGGTGGGCCTCCAAATTTGTGTGTAGCATGCCAGTTCTGATTGGCTAGAGCGCAATCTGAGCTCCTACGACCGAGTTTGACTACCAACAGCGGACCAACCGCTCGGAAGGTCTTTGCCCCTAATTTCAAGTTAGCGATGGAGAAATAGATCGGCCAAGGCTGTGCCAACGAATGATGGCCCTCACTTGAAGTTGGAGAGTTCCTGTATGACGTTTTGTCAGCAGCGCATTCAAGCTTGTGTGGATGGGATGGACTAACATTCAAATTTGCCTTTCCAAGGAGGATCAATCCACTATCAATGAGCTTTCGTATCTCAACATCAGCCAACGTGATTGGTTGTGAGACATTCCCTGGTAGTGTGCCTTACCTTTTGAGCGACTGGAGCATTCTCGCGTGGCTTGGAATCGAGAAGAGTCAGCGAGCTTGCGGTGGTTTTCATGCCAGGCTGGGATGGGTGTCGATGTTGTCCTTGGTGATCCGTCATGGTCAGCTAGAAGGCTTTTGATGATTTCACAGGCTTGCAAGTAAGTGGTCGTCGCACCTTGATGATGGCTGGAATTCCATGCAGGGGACCTCGCAGCCGCTCCGCAGCACGCTCGTCATCCAGGGAGGATGCCACGGCTCTCAGCACCTGTCTGGGGGGCATGGACAGCATCGTGTGCAAGTAGCCATGGTGCTCCTCAATCTGGTCGAGACACTGGTTGACGATGTCCACGCTCTTTAGTGAGCCCGACTCGAGCAGGCGCAGCAAAGACTTCGCATCAGCATTGGCGATGCTCGCAGGAAGCGCTGATCTCGACATGGTGTTGCAATTCAAAGTCACAACTCAGCCGCAGCTCTATGCATGGAAGAGCACAATGCAGGCGAAACCTGTTTTGATTTGGCACAGCATCATAAGTTAGGGAGAAATGCCAGACGTTGGCGCCTGAGGCAGCAACAGACGACACATCACCTTATTCTCACCACACGCCCACCGCCTCACTTTCCTCCCTCTCGCTTCATCTCCAACCCTAGCTTCAGATTGCAAATTCTCTGCCCGGTCGGTCAATGGGACCCTGCTGTCCGTTTCAGTGACCCGTCTCCTGATTACCCGGGCACCCTTTGCTTCCACTCTCGAGCTTCGCAGATGCCGCCCTTTCAGGAGGATGGTGACTTGGCCAATGCAGAACGTCTTGGGCTTGGCCATGGGGACCTCTCCTGCTATGCACGCATCGACTTCCTTCCAAGTTGGCCAATTCGAGTATCTTGGCAGGCCGCTTCTTGGTGTCTCAACCTGGGCAGGTCTTCTTTCCATTCCTGCAGCTTGCTCACAGTGGCTGACCATTGCGAAAGGCTCCCGATTGGAAACACGCTTCTGCACCCGAGCCGCCCGTCTTGGTCACCTGCTTCCGTTTGAAAAAGAACCAGATCATAGATGCCGGTACACTCAATGCCTGGCGAAATCACCAGCTTGACCATGACGACGTCTTCCACCCGGCGTTTCTTGAAAGGGTTATATTCAATAGCGTCGAGTCTGACCAAGTGACTCTTACCGACGATGCGAAGCAGGTCTTGAAGGACTGGAATACCATCAGAGTCGATTTCAGTCCTCATTTGAACCTCACGAGTGGCCCGTATTATTTGGATCGTGGTGTATTTCACTCAGTGTGGAGGGTCTTTGAAGACCCCCAGCTGGCATTTTTGGAAGCCATATGGCCCCTCGAGGAAAATCCTCTGTAAATATACCAACCATATTCCCCATCTCATGATATCCTCTCGGCTCATCATCACTCTCTCAGCTCCTTTATTCGGGTCAGCGCGGCAGGAAATGGGTACCGTAGCCATGGCATCGCGGTGCCTTCACGGTCGTACACGCAAGCGTTTATATCATCCGGGTCGGGCCTAACAGACAATGAAACCCAAAGGTAGAGAGAGATTGATGATTAGGCTATCATGCAAGTTTTGACCACTGACAAGACGTCAATAGCGCTCTCAGAGGTTTGAGGATTGCGGTCAAGGACAACTACCACATCCAAGGTATCAAGACATCGTTAGGAAATCGGGCATACTTCAATTTATATCCTACTCAGAATACCACCGCAAAAGTGGTGTCGAAGCTAATTGATCAGGGTGCTCACATCGTCGGCAAAGCTCATCTTAGCTCCTTTGCCATGATGGAGCATCCCACCCAGAGTGTTGATTATCAAGCCCCTTTCAACCCCCGTGGGGATGGTTACTTGATTACTGGTGGGAGCAGTGGTGGTAGCGCGGCCGCAACCGCTGCTTATGAGTGGATTGATATTGCGATATGTAGTGACAGTACGTCTCTGCTTCATCACCATCATCACCTTGCCGTATTTAAGTCAACTCACATCTTACAGCCACCGGCAGCTCCCGCATCCCCGCCCTGCAGACAGGGGTCTTCGGATTTCGCCCTAGCACCGGATCTATCTCAGGGGAAGGCATGGTAAATGCATGGGCAGCTTTCGACACCCCGGCATGGTTCGGGAGGAACCTCGAACTATTTCCAAACGTCTTGGGCGCGTTGACCGGTCTTCCGGCGGACAAGTCGGCCGCTGCTAAAGTCCCATCTGTGATTCTCTACCCCACAGACTTTGCGCCAGCAGATAGCCCAGATCAGATTGAGGCCATGGAGAGGTTACTTGAAGATTTAGCTACAGCATCAGATTGTACCTACACGCGCGTCTCGATTGAGAATGACTGGGCTGAAACAGGACCAACCGAAGAAAGGAGCCTCTACCAATACCTCTATAATGTGAGTTGAAGAATGCCTGCCCTCCACAGATCGAATAATTTGCTCAAGTGTTCATGCGGTAGGTCACCCATAATGGGTGGTATTATTCAGCATTCCATTCGTTCGACCAATTCAGAGAACAGTATGAATCAAGATACGGCCGTATTCCTTTTGTTACCGAAGTTATCCGATGGTATTGGTACGTGCCCATGTCCGATTAATCCCCCTTCTCATTTATGGCGAGCGTGTCACAGAAAAAACTGATATTACTGTAGGAACTTAGGCAGCACCGTGACGGCTGAGGAGTACCAAGAGATAATGAACCGCCTAGACGTGTTTAAGAATTGGTTCATAAATCAGTACTTGGCGGAAGGGGCTGTTGTCGCATTGCACATTGACAAGATCCAGCCGAGGTATCGCGATCAGTACCCAGGCAACAACAACCCGGAAACACCAGGCCTTCGCGCACCGCATCTTGCTGCTATTTTGGGCTCTCCTGAATTGGCGGTGCCAAGTGAGTCCTCCCCATTTTATTAGCTTTGCTTCTTGGTGATAATCAATTCCAACTAAAATTTGCAGTCTCTGAAATCCCCTACCAGTCACGTATTACTGGTCGAGAGGAGAAGCTCCCCATGGTTGTCTCTCTTATGGGGGCACCGGGGACCGACGCCCAACTCCTTGAGTGGACGATCGATTCGTTAGGCAAGAGTGGACGCGCGACCAAGGTTGGAGTTGGAAATAGAATGTTTTAGATGCCTGGACTATTATTTCGAGACGCCCAAGGGATCTCTGAGGATAGACTACGACAATTTGGGGACGGGTTGAGGCCACTGTGACAGGGCAAGACGGATTTACAGTGGGCTCTAGGCAATGCTGCATGGTTTCCTTGGGCACGGCTGAATTTGTGCAATAGCTTTGCTATCAATTAACTAGCATCTGCTTCTGTCTCTTCCAACATCACCAAAAGCTCCATGCCGTATGGTTCTCAGAGTAGGTACTGCAATCATCTTCCCCGTGCCCTGGCAGCACGTCGGATTAGGTGGTCTCATTGACCTCGGGATGCCATTCCGGATTGCCTTCAATGTCCTGTAAAGTGCAATCCTCTGTGAAGTGAATCCGGACCGGGACGTAGTGAGGGCTCTGATTTCCCACCCAGTCAATTTTCTGGAGGTGAACAGTGACTTGAAGTCCAACCATTGTACGATACCGTTGCTTGATCCACAGCTTCCTTTGCACCTCTAGGTAAGCCCTGCGACTCATAAGGTAGTGTATTGGACTGATGGAACATACTGGACCACACCATAGGTGTAACCCTTCTCGGCGGCAATACGTTGAATCATGTTTGTCACTCTCTCGCGCTCCTCATTGTAGCGAAAGTCATCTTCCCAGTCAACAAATTTGACACTAACGCTCATGTTTTCTAAGTTTGAGGGAGGCTATGGAACCCGGTGGGCTGAGAATGATGACTTAGACGATTCTTTTTGCAGGGGATGGTGAGTGCTACGGCGATAGATCGAGCTGACAGATATGAAGAATACCACCCAGCCTCAGTAAGGATGGAGGACCAGAACTGCAGCGAATGAGGGTGAAAAGAAACTCACTTGTACTAAGTGGTGTATCTCTAACAACCGTCTGTTGCTTATTCTCGCGTGTGCCACGTCAGCTTGCATTCCCACCTCACCCCACCTTCCGAGTATTGCAGGAAGGTCACTAGATTGATCTATTAACAAAAAGGATCTGTAATGATGTCGGGCATAATCCGTGTTTTGTGTATGCTCTAGTCTAGGTCGCTCAAGCCAGGCATCCAAATGGCTTCCACCTACCCGCCCAAAAGACTGTACAGAATCCCCCGCTCTACAAATGCTGAAGATCCTGAGCTCTACAAAAATTCTGGCTTCCACCCGGTTCATATAGGTGACTACTTGAAAGGGAAAAGGTACAGAATTGTTCACAAGCTTGGCTATGGTGGCTCTTCCACAGTATGGCTGGCAAGGGACTGCCTGGAAAATTGTTATGTGTCTCTGAAAATATCCAAAGCGAACTTTGGCCTCGGAAATAAGGAGGTCAGTGTTCTGCGTCACCTTGCCCAGACAAAATCAGACCACACGGGCGCACAGTATGTCATGAAGCTGAGGGATGATTTCATCCTATCGGGGCCGAACGGAGAGCACCGATGCATCGTTAGTCAAGTCGCAGGAAATCGATTAAGCCGCGCACTAGGAGTGAGGTACTCTTGTCTGGGTCCTTCACGTTTACTTGTCGCTCAACTTTTCCTGGGGCTTGAATACCTGAATTCATGCAACGTAGGACACGGATGTGAGTAGTTGTATTTGCTCAACAGCACATCGGCACTAACTTGCAATCAAGATTTATACACGGGAAACATATTATTCCAGCTGGAGACCTTTGATCCATGGTCGGATGAGCAACTATATGAGTGCATGGGCCGTCCTGTTACTGAAGAGGTTGTTCGTCTTGACGGTCAAGCAATCGAGAGCTGCGCCCCTCTGGCGCTCTCTCTCGTCTAGTAAGTAAGAGAGCTATACAGCTGCTAAAAAAAAAAAAAGAGGAAATTCCTAAATACTAAGAATTTAATAATTTAATATTATACCTAGTATTATAATATATTAAAATTCAGTCTTTTTCTCTAGCTATATATAAAGTTTAATACTAATAATAACTATATCTAGTTATATATAAGATTTAAGTTTAAAGATTAAATCTAGTAATAACTCTTTTATTAATATAACTTCTTTTATAAATTTTAAAATACTACTTTTTATCTATTTAAAAACTACTATTTTTAATTTAGTTTTAAATAAACTATATAGTTTAAGTCTATATTAATAATCTATTTTTTTTATTAGTTTTACTATAAATAAGAATATATTCTAAGATTAGATAATATATAATTTAATATATATTTTTTAAAAATATAATTAATAATCTATATTTAAATCTTTAATATTATAAAATAAAGTTAAAATTAAATACTTTTAGTCTAGATATAGATATTAATATCTTAAAAACTCTAATAATAGAAGCTATTTATATAGCTAGATATATAAATAGTCTAGCTATAGTTATAATTTCTAAGAGAAAAAACTTATTATCTAATAATAATAACTATTTTTTCTTATTTTAATTAATTATTTAATTATTTAATTAATTAATTATTTAATTAATTAGTTACTAGATATTTTAAATAATTATAATATTTAATATAAATATTCTAATCTCTTAAGATTTATTTAATATTATTAATAAAATTCTTAAAGTAATAATAACTATTATTTAAGATAATCTAATATAGCTATTTATTAATTATATTTATTATATACTTTTTTAATTAGTTAAAAATCTATTTATAATAATAAAGCTACTTTTAATAATATAAATCTAATAGTTATATTTACTTAGATTATTATTTTACTATATAATCTATTATTATTATATAAAACTATATTTAGTATTTTAATTAATATATAATAACTTTATAAACTATTATATTTTTCTTTATTAATATTTTATTATAATAATTAACTAATCTATTATATTCTAAATACTATTTTATTAATCTTATTTAATTTAACTTTTTATTTTAATAAACTTTTTAATAATTTAATTTAATTTAATTTTTTTCTATATAAAGCTTATCTAAATATAAATAATCTTTATTAATTTAAACTTTAAGAACTAACTTTATCTAGATTAATTCTATATAATATATAATATATTAAAACTAGAGATTATATCTTAGATTATTATAATTATTAAGTATTTAGAGATTATTATTTAGCTTCTTCTTCTTAAGTATTTTATATAGAGTAAAATCTATTATTTATTTTTTATAAACTTTATAATATAGTATTAGATCTAGTAATTATAACTACTAGATCTATATAATTAAGAATAGCTTTATAATTATAAAAAATCTAGTAATAGAGTATAAGCTTAATTATTTTATATTATTAGTAAGAATATAAAGGTTTTTACTAATTATTACTATTATATAGTTAAAAATCTAGTTATATATAATAATTAAATTCTAGTTATAGAGAATAATAATATTAAAAATATTTATTATTATTATAAAAAGAGGTTTAATTATTAATAATTAGTAATAATAAGCTTAGAAAGATATTATAATTAATTATAGATAATAAATATTTTCTCTTAGAGTCTATAGTTAAATTATATATTTAGTAAGCTTTTCTTAGAGTTTTTAGAAATATTATTATTTTATTTTAGCTTATATAAATAAAAAAGTAAAAAAAATAGAATTAAAGATTAAATATAGATTAAAACTTAGTTAAAAATAAATTATATAGATTTAATTATATATAATCTAATTTTAAAATATTTTTTATATATAGTAAAAATCTTAAAAAAAAAAACTTATAATCTATTATTAATAATTATTATAAATACTTATAGAGAATTAAGATTAGCTTAAGTAAATATTATATTTTAAAAATAATTATTTTTTTATATAAATCTATTATAATTTAATATATAATTTATAGTTTTAATATATTATATATTATATTAAATTAATAAAAATAAAAATAGTTTTTAAAAATTAATTATTTAAATTTTATATTATTTTTAATTATATTTAAATTAAAATATTAATTAAATTAAATTAAATTTAGTATTAATATATTAGAGTTTATTTTAATTTAATTTAGAATTATATATATTTAGAAATAAAAAAAATTAGTTATTTTTAAAATTATAAATTAATTTATCTCTATAAATATAATATATATTTATTATTATAGGAAATTTTTATTAAAAATAATATAAATTTAATATTAATTTAATATCTATTTATATATATTTAGTTATACTATATAATAATTAATAATTTATTTATTTTATAAATTATTATTTTTATTACTTTAAAATAAGCTTAATATTATATATTATTATTTAGTTTAATTAATTAACTACTTATTACTATCTTTATTATTAATTAGATTAATTAATTATATATTACTATCTATTATATAGTATAACTAAGTATATATAAATAAATATTAAATTAATATTAAATTTATATTATTTTTAATAAAAACTTTCTATAATAGTAAATATATATTATACTTATAAAAATAAATTAATTTATAATTTTAAAAATAATTTTTTTATTTCTAAATATATATAATTCTAAATTAAATTAAAATAAATTTTAATATATTAATATTAAACTTAATTTAATTTAATTAATATTCTAATCTAAATATAATTAAAATAATATAAAGTTTAAATAATTAATTTTTAAAAACTATTTTTATTTTTATTAATTTAATATAGTATATAATATATTAAAATTATAAATTATATATTAAATTATAATAGATTTATATATATATTTTTTTTAGAGGTTTTTACTATATATAAAGAATATTTTAAAATTAAACTATATATAACTAGCTTTATATAATTTATTTTTAACTAAGTTTTAGTTTATATTTAATCTTTAATTTTATTTTTTTTACTTTTTTATTTATATAAGCTAAGATAAAATAATAATATCTCTAAAAGCTCTAAAAAAAACTTACTAAATATATAATTTAGCTATAAGTTCTAAAAAGAGATATTTATTATTTATAATTAACTATAATATCTCTCTAAGCTTATTATTACTAATTACTAGTAATTAGATCTCTCTTTATAATTATAATAATAAATATCTTTAATATTATTATTCTTTATAATTAGAATCTAATTATTATAAATAACTAGATCCTTATATATATAATTATTATTATTAATAATAACTATTAGAATCTCTTTTTAAATATTAATTATTTAAGTTTATAATCTATTATAAATTTATTTATAATAATAAAACTACTCTCTCTTATATAAATCTAATAATTATATTTACTAGAGCTATTATTATATCTAGTAGCTAGCTAATAAGAAGATATATAGATTCTAATCTTCTATATACTTATAGAGAATTATATAAATATTTCTCTAGTACTTAATAATTATTATAACTTAATATATTATATATAATACTAGTAGATAATATACTAACTTAAATTAATCTAGATTAAGATAATTTTTTAAATTAAATAAAAAGTTTATTTTAATTAGTATTAGATAAATAGAAGAGAATAGAATTAAATTAAATTATTAAAAAGTTTATTAAAGTAAAAAGTTAAACTAAATAAAGTTAATAAGATAATATTTAGAATATAATAGATTAATTAATTTAATATTATTATAGATTATTTAAAGAAAATTATAATAGTTAATTATAAAGTTACTATATACTAATAAAGACTAAATATAGTTTATATAGTAATAGATTTATATAAAAGAATAATTATTTTTAAAATATAATATTTATTTAAATTAATTTTAATTTTTTATAAAGTATTTATAATAATTATTAATAATAGATTATATAGTAAAATAATAAACTAAATAGATATAACTATTAGAATTATATTATTAAAAATAGTTTTTATTATATAGTATAACTAAATATATATAAATAGATATTAGATTAATATTAAATCTATATTATTTCTAATAAAATTTTCTATAATAGTAAATATATATTATACTTATAGAGAGATAAATTAACTTATAATTTTAAAAGTAACTAACTTTTTATTCTTATTATTTCTAATTAATAATAAATATTTTTCTAATATTTTAATCTAATTTAATCTAATATTCTAATCTAAATTTAAACTAAATAATTAAAAATAAAAATATAAGCTTAATTAACTTTTAAAAACTATTTCTACTTTAATTATTTTAATATAGTATATAATATATTAAAACTATAAATTATATATTAGATTATAATAGATCTATATAAGTAAATAGCTATTCTTAAGATATAGCTTTTCTTCTAACTAGTCTCTATTCTCTATAAGTATTTATTATAGCTCTAAATAGACTATATAATAAAGTAATAGATTAAGTAGATATAGCTATTTAATCTATATTATTAAAAGTAACTTTATTATTATAAATAGACTTTTAACTAACTAGAGTAGTATATAATAAATATAGTTAGTAAATAATTATTTTATATTATCTTTAATAATAGTTATTATCTCTTAAAGAGTTTTATTAGAAGTATTAATTAGATTCTAAGAGATTAAAATATTTATATTAGATATAGCTATTATAGTTATTATTATTTAAATACTTAATAGATATTTAATAATTAATTAATAATTAATAAGCTTAGTAAATAGATATAGTTATTAGATAATAAGCTTTCCCTCTTAGAGATTATAACTATAGCTAGACTATTTATATATCTAGCTATATAAATAGCTCTTATTATTAGAGTTTTTAAGATATTAATACTTATATTTAGATTAAAAATATTTAATTTTAACTTTATTTTATAGTATTAAAGGTTTAGATATAGACTATTAATTATATTCTTAAAAAATATATACTAAATTATATATTATCTGATTTTAAAATATATTTTTATTTATAGTAAAATTAATAAAAAAAATAGTTTATTATTATAAGTAGATTC